AAATTTTTAAGGGCACCTACCGGACTTAGGGGACTGCAGAAACTCGCTTGGCCAACACTGCGGCAGCTCAGAGTAACGCCGCCCTGCAGATGCGCGACTCCCCAGAGCAAAATCCCTGTCCCTAAGCGACTCCAGTGCAAAAGCTGGTAGTTTACTGCTGCCCCTGCTAGCAGGGGGAAAATTGCTAAACCATCAGATTTTGCCCTGAAATTTCTCATTTTGCATACAACAGCCCTCAGCAGCTGGGGCAGACGGGGCACAGTGCCCGAGCCCTCAGCACCCCACCACCCCAGGGCAGCAGAAACTGTAAAAATTTCAATCCCCAAAAAGCTCTGGTTGCTTTTGAACTTGCTTTTTTGGCCCCCAGAGGAGCCACGTGACAAGCGAGTTCACACAATAGCGGGTTATAACGTGGTTTGGGAAGATTTACACAAGCCAAAGTCCTTTTTCTGTCCCAGGCAGAGCTACCTACAGCGATAGAGGAAGCCCCACACACGCGCGGCAACAAGAGGAATTTCTGGAGCTTAGGGCTGCTTTTGGCCTCAGCTTTAGCCACAAACTCCTGCTCTCAGGAGATCGGGAAGAAGCAATGCCACTCCTGCTGCTCATTAAACAGAAGAGTGCAACCTGCTAACCCCGCACCCCCTTCCCCTAGAAACGGAGCTTTTCCTTCAGAGCTTTCCATCCAAAAATTAACCAGACCCAACCCTAACCCAAGAAAGGATCTGCCACCCAGCACAGGAATTTTTATCCTGCGAACAACCTCGTGTCCAAACCAGCTTGACAGGACTCCTCTTTCCAAAGGGGCGTGAGAAAACCTTACCTTTCCTTCCCGCGTGCCATCTGCTCTCTTGCTCGAGGAAACGCCGCGCTTCTGGCTGCGCCCAAAGCCCCACTTCCCAGCAGTCGGACCGGATCAGGCACAGCCTCCTACACCCCGCAGCCTCCAGGTTTTTCTTCCACAACATCTCCCACAATGTCACACAAACACTAGGGGAACAAACAGGTTTCCAAACCCCTTTGTGATCAGTAATGAGGTGGCCAGGAGCTCCTTGGCCAACAAGGGTCACCGGGGGGAGCCCAGAGCCTGCCCCAAGGAGGTAACGGGAAGCAGCTGTAAACCTGGAGGGTCACAGAGCCACCTGGATCACATTCAGAAAGTTTGAGTAAGACAGACAAAGCCTTGAGAAAGCCAAGATGACTAGAACCATCGAGGACTGTTTGTCCTTAAAAGTGCTGGTGCAATGCCTGCTAGCCGAGGAGGGTGTCTGTGCCCTGCTGAGGTGCGGGACATCACAGCTTAAGAACTGAAATGAAACCAGGTAAACAAACACAAAATAGATATGTGCAATCTTTGTTGTCAGGCTGAAGAAAATACGAGTGAGCAGAGCAGACTTATACAGCACATCCCTGAGGTGTTAGCAGAACTTAAACCATGTTGATTCAGAGAACCTGGGCAGTACAACAATTGTATCTGTTTCTCAGAAACATTGAATCCCCCTTGCTCTTATTGAGCAAGCTGGTATAGCACAGCTTTGCTCCAGAAACCTAATTTCTTCCTTACAGCACAGACTTAGAAAACGGCACTAGCAGCAGCTCACAGCCCTGGCTCTGTGAGCTGGAGCAGCACAGAGAGCCTGCACCTTCTCCAGGCCCAGCATTAACTGCTGGGAGAGCTGCACAACTCAAACATCCGCTGACCTGCCCAACAGGGGCCCTAAGGGACACGTGGGAACCATCCAACTGGAAGGGACTGAGCATGGTGTAGGAGCCTTTTTTAGACTTATTACAAGATAAAAAGAACCATTCTCTTGCTTCAGAAAATTCCCTCCTGCTGATGCATGGGCAGTTTGATTTATTCCATTATTGATTGTTCTTTTGGAAGGAGCTGTGTCAAATGTGAGAAATCAAGAAAGGTGACAAGCGAGGCACAGAGCCCCGGCTGCAGTCATGGAGTTGCATCTTCAGAGAACGCTGAAGTTTGGGAGTGCTGGTAGCTACTAACACTCAGTCAATATGTGTTTTGCTTGAATGTGGCGCATTTTGATGATGAGATGTCAGCAATCAGGAAGCTGGTTTTTTTGAAGAGATCAGAAGTGGAGCTTGCAAGAAGAATGATTCACCTTGTGTATCATTAGACACATGATCTTAAGCAATCAGGGATCCAGGACAAGGTGACATTTGGAGGTTTTTTCAGTGCTGACTCAGTCCTCCCAGCTTCACACCAGATACTCCCAAACCAATTTTGGAAGAGCACCCTACTAAAAACATGGTGTAGATGAAGCAGTAATGGAGACTAACCAGAAGAGGGCAATCCCTTACTTAAGGGAAAAAAAAAAAAAAAAAAAAAAGAGCCTGTCAAGCATTCAATGAGTAACTGAAGTACATAGAAGGCTAGAAACTTGCTCTAACTGCAGTCTAAGGAGGAAGATAGTAAAGCTCAGCTAGAAGCAACCACCTAATTCTCTTGATAGCAGCCTGATTGCCAGAAATAGTTCAGCTGGGGCAGATGTTTCTTCTTAAACCCTTTGGACCAAGCTAGAGATCCCCAATGAGTTCACCCATGGCAAGATTTGCAGTGTAGGATGACAACACTGACAGGTTCCACTCCTGCCAAAAAGGGAGGGGGTGCTAACCCAATCCAAGCTGCAGTTTTACTTCTCTGGAGAAAAAGGTCATGTTTCCCCATTTCCCAATAAGCTCAGCACATTGGAGGCGGGAGGCTCAAGCGCCAAGATTCCTGCGCTACAACGCAGCACTCGGATCCCAGGTTCCTGCTCTCCCTTAGTCCTGCACATCCCTGCACTTGTTGCTCCGTGTTTGTTAAAGGGGAGGCAAGGTTAAAAAAGAGAGTTTTTCCTGCATGCCTGAAAGGTAATTCAATCTTGGTTCTAACCTAGTAATTAAGCACCGAAAATATCCTTCTTCCTTAAAAAAGGAAGAAAGGACAAGCCCTAGGGAACACAGCGAAGAGAGTCCTCCTCTCTGCAGTACTAGCATATCCTTGCTCTGTAAGGCAGCGTTCACAGGGCATCACCCGAGTGCAGGGCCTTTGGCACTCGCCAGGGTGAAAGGGAGCTGCGTGAAGTCAAATCCAACAGGCTTCCTGCCCCCCAGGCTCAGGGCACAGGTACCTGGCCAGCCCTCCCTTCAAACACACCTTTACCAGCTTGTGACAGACCAACTTGACCCCCCCCCAACCTTGAGATGTCAGATAGTTAAAGGGTAGGAGAGGGCAACAGCATTAGATAGGATGCTGCCAGCGGCCTTGAGCGCTGCAGTCTAGAGAAGGCCGATAAGCGTCTCAGCTGACTTCAGCTGACACCATAGGAAAAGAGCTTCTCAGATTACAAGGACCCAGACTTCACGAGTAGATTTATAGACAAGTAAGAGCCTTGAGTAACAACTGCAGACATAAGCCATCGGTAACCCCTCCCAGTCTGGCCCCCATGGAGATTTTAAACCAAATCAGAGGCCACTGTCACAACCAGCTATGGTTTTGAATAGCCCTCAAGGATAGCTTGTTTTTAAAAAGGGGGAAAAAGTACAGAGCCTTTCATCTTGAAAGCCCCAAGCCTGGTACTTGCAAGAGCACAACTGGACCTGAACATCCCTGACTCCTCACTGCCATCATTAGCTTTGATCTTGCTTATGCTGTTTTTTTTTTTTTCTTTAAAAAGTATTCTGTTCTCCCAGGTAGGGCAGATCATTCCCAGTGTCAGCATCCAGTGAATCGCTCCAGGAAGAGTCTGGCCATAGGCAGCACCATTAACACATACTGAGCAAGAGACACAGGCAAGTGATATCTCTTTGACAGACCTTTATTAGCAGACTGTTCCCTACATGAAGAATCTGAGTTAGATTTGCATTATAACAATTTGTGGTTACAGCTACAGAGGCTACAGAGACAGTTGTCATTTTGCATTGATTTTTGCACTCTGAATATTCCCATTAGGCCACACTGGTAGGAAGGAGCCACTGTAGAATTTATGGCAGGTCTCAAAAACGGGGGCGGGATGGAAAAAAAAAAAAAGAAACATCTTATCAGTAATCCAGATACCAGGTTAAATTTCCACATGGCTAACTACTGACAGCACTGGATAGTCAACACAGAGAAACTCCCCTGGAAGGTTCTCCATAAACCACCAAAACCTGCCAGCCAAAAAGCAGCTGCTGAGCACTAATAAACCCCTTCCTGATTTCCCAGACTTCTCCACAGTGCCTGTTGCCACGTGAAAAGCACTGGCTCAGCAGTGGGATCTGCTGACTCAGCCTCAAAGCACAACCGCAGCAGCTTGTGTCCAAGTGCAAGTTTCCTTCCATCTCTCTTGAAACTTGT